AATTCTCTTAAATTCTTAAATTGTGATTTATATCAGTCGGATTTATTGTAACGACAGGTTTTATCTCCTTTAATAACATTCTTCTATCAGCGAGATTTTACAACCAAGCGTCATAACTTTAAGGACGACATAATATTTATATTTCGTATAATAAAACAAGTCCTGGGGTTGTGTAACAAATTAAACTAAAATTAAACCAAAACTACTCTCCGTTGAGATTTATTTAATCATTCAGTCGTCGCTGAAATATATCAGAATTTTTGAATAAATAACAAACTCAGTGGAAATGTAATAAATAGCGTATCTTTTGTATCAGTCTTAATTGTACCACAAACATAATTTTCTAATAAAATTTTCTCTTTGTGGCGAGTTCAATAAAAGCTCCGAATTCCGATGAACTGTTTATTAGGTTTCTTTCACGAGGAAAAAACACACAAGTTGGGCAAAATGAGGACTAATTCTGGAGTTTACAGTACCATACGAACAATTCAGCAACTCCGAATCCCGTTTCAGTAATTACAATAAAACGCTAAAAATTACATTATTACATCTGAAGAAACTGAATAGTTTTTAGCTAGACTGGAACATTTGTACAGTGCACGTCCCAAGCCCTTTATTATCCTTTTTGTTGATCCCAGTCCAGCTGTTGCCACAAGTGAACAGGAATTTTCTCGAAGAGTTACGATGTTTCTATCAGTTTAGAAAGATACTGCTTCAACCAAATTTTCCCTAAAATAGTCACTAGAGTCAATTATCGGTTGAGTCTTCCCTTCATAAATAATATTGCAACAGTTTGCAAACAATTCTATTTCGAGGAGCAAATTTATTTTTCTGTCACGCTTTGTGTATAGAAATGGTGTGCTGTCGCAGGTGTACCAACCCTTGAGGCAATTAGTAAATGTCGGTGAAATTATGATGGGAAAGGGTAAGCAGTCAGGTATCAGACAATGTAAATAGTCACAATACGCACCCCATTGTTAACTTCCTTTTATGATTTATTGAAGACGTGTTCAAACTTTATTAATTTAATTTTTTTCCTGTTGTGACAAGATATTGGATTTTTTAAAAACATTCTTAAGGGCATATGCCTGGAAAAAGATTGGATGAATAGCTTTTTTATTTACACACTCTCTCAGTTAGTATTTAATTTATGGTCCGTATAATGCGAAACATAAAAAAGACAATCTTCTGTTTAGATCCTGGAAATAGAGAATGATCTGTTCCAGACACAAAAAGCAATTTTGTTTAACGATGATTTTTTCTCTGTTTGTGAGAAAAAGATTTTAAAATTTTCAAATATTGGATAAAGTTGTCCTCGGTTAAATTTTCGTCGTCCTGTTGTATAATGAAAATGGAGTTATGAAGTTGATTGTTAAGAAATGCGCACAACAGAAAGGTCTTAAACGTCTTGTGGATTTTAATTTAAGACAAATTAATCCAATCAGAGATTAGTTTGACATAATAAAAATAAAAATAAAATTGAAGCTTATTAAATTCTTGTGAAACTTTCTTGGGGTTTAATTTATCAATAATGTGACAGCGTTTTTCAGTTTGAGTTGGGTTTTAATTAATTAAAAAAATGTAGAGAGGCGTTATAACACGAAACGGTTTCTTAAAAATTGTGGGTAATGGTTATTTTATTGCAGCTTTCATGAATCTAAATAGGAGAAAAGCAGCCGCCAATAGATGGTACTAAAACATCAATGTTTTCTCCATTTGAATAGTTTACAGTTGATGTGCCAGATGTCTCTTTTCCTAATTTTGGCGCGTAGTTTAGACAACGGCGCGGCGACTTTTTGGCGGGATTTTGACGGAATTTTGTGACAACTTAAAAGTTTTATTTAATCTGTCACCTAACGTTTTGTAGGAGTATTTTTTTGTTTAAAATAATAATGACAAAAGTTGAAATCTCCATTTTAGAAAGTAATGCTTTGGAATAGACCCTCCCACATAGTTTTTGCAATGAGGTACGAAGCAAAAATGCATGCATTGTCGTATCAACAAGAAATTACTCCCTAGGATTTAGGGATTTTCGTGAATAGGTTGCCATAAATTTGGTTAGGTTGGTTTCTGGTGACAAGAAAAAGATATCGTAACTAGTGTCAAAATTTAGGTTAATACACCTGTCAGCTGGTATGGATAATTCATTTGATAGTTGACAGCAGGTTGACAGAAAACGTCAACCGTCAACAACAAGGGGTAACCAACCCTAGGCATTCAAAATTACTTCTGGAAATTCTAGTTACAATCACCATGAATAACGTAATTTTCCTAAAAATTCAAATCCTAGGTGGTAATTTCTTGTTGACAAATCTTTAAGTACTCATATTTATATTAACTTGTCAAATTGACAAAAATGGAAAACTGATATTGTCAAAATATGTTTTCCCCATTCGGATAGTTTCTTGCCTGCCACCACAGGTCAGCTACTTTGCTGAATGTCTCTTATACAAATAAAATTTACGGTTGCAAAACTAAATTAGATTTCAATTAGAAAATTGAAAATAGTATATTACAAACCAAGTAAGGAAGAGCTTCATTACAGCCGAGCGTTGGTTAATTGTTCGATAGCGAAGCTCGAGATCAGTTAAAACACAAAGCTGATATGAACCTTTCTCCGTATACTATTTTATTCGTAATCATACAATGTTTAAATTCAATATACTATAAATTTTGAATAATAAATATCCTGATCTGACACATTTAAGTCAACGTAAGCGAGGCTTGGCAATATAAAAACTATAATACTGCTATAATGACAATTCCAAAAAATGACACTAATTAATCCTTTTTTGGATAGTTTCTAAAACTTATAAATGTTATATGGTCGTGTTGGTAAATAAAGAATGTCAAGTGACAACACATAATCTAACTAATTGTAATGATAGTAGGGCTCATCAAAGTGATGCAAGCTATTCTCCAGGTAAGATACCAGGAACATGAAAAAATGTTTAAAAAATTCTATCTGTCAAAAAATTTTGACATTTGACATTTTTTTTATATCTACTTAAGGATACTGATGATCTTGTATATGTTTTTTTTTTACAATTATTTAGTAAAGGGACAAAAATTTTGCCACTATAAGCCACAAATGACATTGAACAGAGTTACAATTTAGGATACAGCTTCCTTGTTTCCTCTTTTATTAGCCTATAGCAAAAAAACTTGGAAAATTATTTTTCCAACAGAAATAAATAGAGTCAAAGTGCAAACTTTAAATCCTCATAACTTCGAAATTTTTATAGATACAATTTTTTTAACATTTTTTCCATGTTCCTGGTATCTTACCTTATATGGCATTTTTCTCTGGGGCGCGAGTTCTGGCGCACCCTGTATAATAATTATTCCCGGCTAGTTTCAGTAATCATCTAGTTCCCAACTGTTGTTATGCCATGAAATTGACAGATTAGAATATGATTGCGAATAATAGTACATTACAAGCGAGGTGGTAAATATGGCATTACCCCGAGTGCTTATGTATACGATCGAGAGGCGCTAGCCTCGAAATCGGATAAAGCACAAGGGGTAATACCATTACCACTAGGTTTGTATGCTATTTTATTCACAATCACATTATTTTCAGTCAAAAATTTGAATAAAATAAAATTCTAACAAAGTTAAGGTCCAAACGTGGTAGGCCATCCAAATGGCGTTTGATTTTTGACATTTCAGAAATGTCAAAGAAAATATTGAAATAATGTGTGGACCTGATTTAACATCGTCGAAATGGAGCAGTGTATTTCCCCAGAAGTAAGAGGAACTGCTACAAAAGCAATTGAATACTAGCAAAATATTATGCGTAACTTGACAATTTGAAAGAAAAAAATCCCGGTATTTTTGTGATTTTAAGGTTGGCTATCCTGCATATTACCGCCTAAGAGAAGTAATATTATTACTCCCCATGAGATTTAATGATGTGCTTCCGAACCTTTAAAAGGTTAGTAATCGGCATATTACATTAGTGATTGTGAATAAACAATTTTTCGCATTGAATTTTTTTAATTAAAAACATAATTAAGTTTCTGCCTGAAGTAATTTCGTATAATCCTAAGAATTTTGTAAAGTTGCATACTTTAAAATATTTACAAGAGAAGCGAAACATTTCCAACTCTTTCAGAAAGTAATAACACGTTTTCTTCTGAAGGAAAATGATTCGGTAGGAAGATTATTCGGCTTGTAATTTCCTGTTTAAAATTATCTTAAAGTCAGTCATTTGACGGCTTTAATGAACGATTAATTACAAAAGGGACGTTTGTTTAATTTTGTTGCAATTCAATTTTTTGAACGGTTAAATCTTAATGATTGTTATGAATGTTAAAAATTAGTGTACAAAACTAAGGTTTTTTATTTTCACCGGAAATAGGAGAAAAATGAAGTAAATAAATATGCACTTCTAACTCGCTTTTAACTAAGCTGAACTCATAATTTCCTGATTTAGATGGGAAACACAACTTCACAAGAAGAGAACAAGATGGAAGAAAATCAAACTTTAAAACGTTCAAAACATTTAGATCAACGGCAAACTAAGTGTAGGTATTATTTTGACGAAATATTGATGATAAAATGGTGAATGCGCCGGGAAAATAGATATAAAAAAAATAAATTTACAATTTTATTTATCAACAATTCAGTTAATATCTAATACAAAATCATTGTTTTTTTGAACTTTTACGTCAAGAAAACGTGACGTCAAGGTATCAGTATGCAGAAACTACCTTCAACTTTTAAATCCAACTCACATTACCTTTTCCCCAAAAAGGAAAAACAAAATTTTATCTCAAAACTTGAACTGTTCCAAAACCAGGATCATAAGATTAAGGAGAGAAAACTCTCCATAAAAATAAAAATAACAAAAAGTTTGTTTTTAGCTCACAAACTCAATTATCATCGAAATAGTTCAACACAAACGATAATTTTATGCATTAACGCAGTGCAATAATTAACGTTATCTGAATTAAAACTAGAAACGGTAATAAATAAAGGTTTTGATTTGTTTGCAGAGGCGTTCTTAACGCATCTGAACTGCAAGATGAGGACAGGAAATAATCCCTGCTGCAGCTGGAGCGGCTCTGCCAGAGCCACAATCTTTGTTATCATCCTGCCAGCGGCCACTTCCGCCACGTCTTCAGGTAGATTAATTTTAGAGCAAACAGTTCAGTCAGAAACTAACAACAACCCTTGAGCAAAATTTGGGTATAGAGAAGATTTTTTCAGAAAGGGCTTGGCAAAATCAATTACTATTATTTATATTGTTTAAAAAATCACCTGAAAGGGATAATCATTTTTATTTTTATTTTTTTATTGGAAACAATTATTTGCAAACCGTATTGTAGTAAGTTTATAAATGACAAGAGCTATAGCTGCGTATTTATCCAAGAATAAAATTATTTCAATTTTTTTTCTTATCTCTTAATTTCCGCAGATCTGTACCACTTTTCCACCGCCGAAAATGCAACCTCGATGGAAACCCTCTACGAGCCGTGGAATTGCACGAAGCTTCCTTGCAATTTCGAGAACGAAACTCTGACCCATAACGACACCAACGACACGCTCAGCGATGCGACCAGAGGCGAGCCTTTGGCCGACCTTATTCTAATGGGATTTTTGTCAGTTGTTCTCGGTCTCATGATACTGGTCACGGTGATAGGTGGGTAAATTTCCTCTTTTAAGGACATTACAAGAAATGACGTCGTTAGTATCGACGAAATCACCGATAAATACGCAAAGGGAGCACCCAACAACTCTCCTTTTTAAAAGAATTACAAACATATGGGGTTTTTCGTACGGTTTTTCTGAAAAGGTTTTCGTTTCTCTAATTAACGGGACACATTCTTTTAATTAAAAAACTGGTAAGTTATCGGCGCAAATAAATTGCGATGGAAATGAAATAAAGTTCAAAGAAATTCGTTTGACGAAAGCAAAGTGTGCTCAAACAGTTGTGCACAAAGTAATGAAACTAAATCCGACACAGTGCGTGATTTAAATTAGCACAAAAATAAACCCTCAAAAAGAGAGAATTTATGAATTGTCTTTATTTATTTAATACAAATTTTCTAAATGCAGAAATGTGTAAAAATGCACTTCTTAGAAAATTGCAAAGTTGGTTGAGCTAAATTTGTCTTTATTACAGCTCTCTACATGTGGAGTGCATTTTCAGTTTTGGAATTCAAAACTTTTACGTATATCAATAAAGTTTTGTCGAAACTTGTTGAAAGATTCCTTAATCAAAACAATTTCCATTTAGTCTGGCAGGAAATGAAGAAATAAAAAACAAAAAACGTAATAATAAGAAATCATATGGGGGAGAAACGCGAGTGAGATAATAACAAAGGCAAATGAGAACTTCTGGCAAGATAGTAAAAGCGGTTGTAAAGTGTGAAGAGGTGCCCCGATAAAGTTTTCGGGATTATTTGAAAATTTCACACTGGATGGAAAATTTACGACTTAACTGCAATCCGAGCTATAACAGAATTAATAATTCGCTCGCATTTTTCTCCAAAGTGGGCAATTAAAACCGGAAGAGATAATAAAATTAACTTGTGAAAATTTCGTCCCGTTTTCGCGCCATTTAATTACATTTACCGGAAGTGGGATTTAAAAGATATTCTCTGTGTGAATCGTTATCAGTCACTTATTTTTGTGTAATTTTAAATACGTCGGATTTCTCCTTCGATTTACGAATAACTGTAGAACCTTGTTAGGGATTATCCTCGTCTCGGCACATTAAAATGGTTTGCGTTTGTAAGAGATGTTCTCGAGCAAAAAATCTCAAGTCCTCGTCATTTTAGAGCTATGCAAATGAGAAGGCTTTTACAAAATACTTTTACGAGCAATTGCATTTTGCTGGGAGCATTTTTCCCATCGAAAATGTGGCATCTTCTAAAAAATGTATAACTTCGCAATTTACGATGGAAATTGTGAGACTTAATGAATGTTCCCACGGTGATAAAGCGAACAAAAATACCATGTTTGCAAGAGATAAAAACCGTCTAAAATTTGTAAATTAGCCCTGGCAATGTAAGAAGAGGAAAACTCTTGTTGCACTGATATGAGAATCTGCGAGTGATTGCTAATTGTACCTTTATTGGCATTGTTCGGTTCTCCTACTGGATGTAGTGGTTCATTGGTTTGTTCGGAGTATTTGCATCAGGTGAACTAGCAGAAGGAGGAACCTCAGGCTTCGATCAATAGCCAAAGCATACAATTAAATCCCGGTTTTTACAACAAGAGACATTACAAAAAAAAGTTTTAAAAAGTATTTCCATTTTGCTTGATTGGTTTCGTATGAATATACAAAGAATCATGAAAAAAATCATTATTCAAAACGGTGACACAATGGCCTTTTATCGTGCTTCCAGACAAACAACAAAATGTAAATTACCTTCTACCACTTTGCAATTAGAGGAAAAAATAAACGAAACGAGCCAAGTATTGCCCAATTATTTGTAAACTTGAAGTGTATTAGAGCAGTCGCTGGCAATCGTAAGCACTCATCTTGAGCGCAACTTCTACATTTCAAAACCATTTACATCAACATCAGTACAACTTTTTAAGTCGAAGACACGCTAAGAGATTCCTTCACTACCTTTCTGTCAAAGCAATATTAACGTCTTTTACGGTATACTTCGTTTTAATCTGATTCAAGTCATTGTGTTGCTCAAAGACTAAATAAGTTTTGTCGGGTAAAATTGTTACTAAGGTCAAGATGACAATCTTAAAATAAAATTAAAAGTGACAAAAATCGACAAAGGGTCTTGCCAGGCTTGAGATAAATAAATTATCAATAGCATTTAACTTAAATTCTTACGTCAATTGGGTCTAAACTCCCCAAATTGAATTTAATAGACGATGGTGTTTAATTTTGTTAAAAACTTTAAAGCCTCTTTTGTCAATTATGTTGAAAGTTTTGATATAACGATTCAAGATAAATATCTGGCAAATGTTTATCAGGTTCAATAATACAATAAATTATCATAAATATGAATCTGAAATCAGAAACTAACATATCAATGGTATCACATATAAAACTATATAATATTATTATTGATTGTTATTGACATTCTGTTATGTGACAGGAGACTTCGTATTATTATTTCAATTTTAAAATTTCATATGCAACGTCGATTTTGTTCCTTCAGCGTAAAATCTGAATTCATATTGATATTGAATTCGGAACAAACTAAAATACATACGAGTATATCTACCTAAAATCAGTCACACTGCAAAAATTGATGAAAATATTTTTTGGAAAATTGAACGGGTAGTCAGAAAGTTTAATTACAATTAAATTTTAGAATTTGATTAAATTATCCCAGATGACACTTTGATTTTAATTATTTTTAATTTGATATTCCATTAATAAACTTATAAAAATAACTTATAATTTGTTTTTAGGAAGCTACCTTTAAAAAATCGTACTTTTACTTTTTAGGAATATTTTTATCAATTATTATTATTATTATTATTATTATTATCAATTGACTGAAATGTAAAACAATTTAAAAAAAGTTTTTTTGGAAACTGCGTTAAATAACAAGTAGCTTTCTTTTCTCCAAGTTCACTCTCCCATAACACAGTTCACTAAGTAGGAGTACTACTCGTAAGTATGACTGTAAACTGATAAATATCAATAAAAAGATATTTTGTTAATAAACTGTACTTTTCGACTTTTAGTACATACATTTATCAATACGTTATTTGTAATCACAGTGTACCTACGAGTACCCGTGGAGGGAGAAACACTCTCCCGAGTACCTAATTTGTGACTAAGATTTTTATTTTAGTCATAAAACACTACGTGCCAAAATTGTCGCATGTTTTTCGAAACCCGGTAAAACCGAGAGTCAAACTAAAATTGTCTAAATTTTAAAGTCATAAAACCTAATAATATATCCAGGGAGCTAGTCAATATATAAGGACATTTTTAAATTCTGAACATAGACCTATGTTTAGCTTAAAAAAACACAGATTTATTTAGTGATAGTCTCGGTAACGTGTCTACAATTTTATAGTAACGAACTAAAAAATGCTTTATTTACAAAACAAACAGAAAAATTAATAATAAAACATAATTGACAGTAAGAAATAAAATTATAGCAAACATTTTGCCGGAAACAATAATTTGAAAAACGCAGATCATTTTTCTAACAGATTTTTTTTATAAATATATTTGACATTTTTAAAAAACGCTACGAATACGCTTAAAGAATTTTATCGAATAATTTTTTTTTAATTACTACTCTCATTTGCTTTTGGTAAATTTTAAATAGCATGAGAGAATTTTAATTATTTTCAAAAAGATTTCAAATTTAATATTCTGGAGAAAACGTTTTTTTTTTTTTTCTTATTACAACGATCTAACACATTTACATTAAAAGGTAAAAATAACAACGGGTGGTTTTTTTTAATTTGACGTCAAGGCTATTCATAAAATTTTGTTAGCGAATTAATAGTTATTTATTCGTCGAGTTTGAGTGTAAATCGGACKCTTTATTTGACCGAGTGGATTTTTAAACCACGAGTGTAACGAGCGGTTTACCATCCACGAGGTGGAATAAAGCGTCCGATTTACACTCAAACGAGTTGAATACAACATTTTATTCTTCGAATTAGACTCAACAAGGCTTAAATTTGCTTAAATCTGTTAAAAATAATTTGACGTTTCGTATTGAAAAATGCCTAACAGTTGTCAAAACTTCCTTACACGGGAGAAAAACCGTAAATTTTGACAGTGCCGAAGAATAAAAGTTATTAAATGACATTTGACACCTCGCAGGGCGAATTAAAAATTGTAGTCCGTTTACAACAGACCGCCAAATGTGACGCCAAATTAAAAAAAAACATCCGTTATTACAATTTAAATAGTTATTTTTTTACAAGTACCTAAAATACAGTTTTTGCGGACAAATCGTTGCTGTTGATGATGGGTCGGCAAAAACGTTTTAGGTACGTCTTACAAACAACATTTTTTGTTAAAGCTCCTAAAAAACACCTCTTATTAATTAAAAAAAATTGCCACAATCGTACTCAAATTAACTTTTTCGTTTGGAAAAACTGTTTTTAGAAACTGAGTACCTAAAATAACCGTTTTACGTACTATTTTATTGAGTCCGGAAAAGACTAGTCCCTAAAACAGCTATTTTCGGGAGTGTATAAAAAAAATATTTACATTATTTTTGATTCTACAAAGAACGTTCAACTTGGTCTCCATTTACCTGCTCGTACATAAAAATGAATTTGTTTCAGAACCAGTTTTAAATAAACTTTTGAAAACTTAGAAATCCAGCTATTTTATGTTGTTGAATTAAATTATTTTCTGCAAATTGAATTCTATTTCCGGAATAATTTAGTCCAGGTGCGAGCATTTTTACTGGAAGTAGCAGAGAAAAATGAAGTAGCCAAACTGGGAATAGAACCCAATTTCCGGCAGATCCTGTCACAACTAACGATAAGTTCGCGACCACATTTCAATCTCACTATCCACATACATAAGTTTCAAAAACGCCTTTTCTGCAACAAAATATTATATTGGCTTTCTGTATGACATGAATTTTTCAATTTTTAAATATTTTGTATTCCAACTTTTGCACATTTGTAGATGTAGATTTCCCAAATACCTTTTTTATTGTCAATAATCTTGCAATTAATTGATTATATGCAGCTAAGTATTTGCTACGAGTGTTTTAACCGGTGCGTATTATTTTCCCTTTTGCATATTTTGCTTAGAATTTCATATATTCTGTGAAACAAAACCCATTTTCAAATCCCGTTTATTTTCTATATCACGGCGTTCAAAGTTCTTCCATTTGTCGCAAAATACCCAGTCGGCACCGTCTGCGTCTTTTCATCTCGGCATATCCGAAAATATCAACTGCAATCTTTCGTTGTATTTTTCAGGTAACGTTTTCGTGATAGCAGCCATATTACTGGAGCGAAACTTGCAGAACGTGGCGAATTACCTGATCGTGTCTTTGGCTGTGGCCGACTTGATGGTGGCATGTCTTGTTATGCCTTTGGGTGCTGTGTATGCGGTGAGTATTACACTTTATAGGTACACGTGTTTAACCCCAAAAATTGTGACTTTTATTGCAATAAAAATTTGCATGCAGTGTATTTCCACTAATTATTTCTAAGTTCATCATTTCGGGACCTAACCTGTCTAAGGATTCGTTAAATCCTAATAGAAGTTGCCGCTATCCCGTCCAAATCATAGCCTGTCGATAGTAACAACTATGATGGATTGCCCCGAGTAATTGACTTGCTATGTAAATAGCAAGTTGGGGCACCACTTGTCACGAGGGTGATGTTAGTCCCAGAAGCATCGGAATGTTTGACGCTTCGGCACGTAACAATCTACAATCGAATCTAAACGTCTGGACTTTGAACCCGATATTGAGATTTAAAAGCAAAAAGAAGTTCGTGCATTTTCTCGTCGAGAATTTTTTAATAAAAACGTATTAACTCGTACGTGGAAGTGGTTTCAGGGACGTAAATGATAAATCTTGCACGGGCTAATTTAGATGCCTGCCTTTAAAAGGCTTAATTAAAACTGAAAATAGATAGTTTAACAGTGCACCGTAAACTTTATTGTCTTTATACTTACTTATGGCAATTGGATTCTCTTGAGAGGTAATTCAGTTTAGGCAGTCCCTAAGAACCGCTGATTTAATTATGAAGGTGGAGACATCGCTTAAAAATTTTCTCTAAAGGTACTAACTTTAAAACATATCACCAGAGCATTACGATATGTTAACCAAAAATCTACATTTTTTTTTTATTTTAGGTAAAACTAGACATAAAATTTAATTATTTTAGCGCAATAAAATGAGAATCAATATTTTAGAAAAAAAAAATAAAAATAAAATAATAGTTATTTATTCAATCCTCTATGTTAAAATTGAATTTTATCTACTCTTTTCTTCATGTTAATATGAAATTTTATCGTCTAAATGATAAAAAATACATCCATTGTTGTATATCTGCAGTTGTTAGTTGCTAACGATCTTTGACATTAGATTTCATTGTTGAATTTTACTTTGACATTTATAAATATCGACTGACTAGTGAGGATTGAATAAAAATTTTTATTGTACACGACGATAAAATTTTCATTATCTTTTCGAGCATTAAATTGCTCTCAAAGATAAAATTCAGTTTTATCGTCTTGTAATCTATTTCGAGAAAAAATACGCAAAATATTTGTGACAAAATTACAATTAATACAATTCATGTTAGGTATGGTAGGTACATGTCGTAGTTTATTGACTTTTTTGATTTAAGTCTTAATACAGTTTACGACTTGAATACATGGTACTAAATGCTACTAAATTGTTTTTTCTTCAGATAAATTGTTTTTTTTTAAGTTAAACAATGATCTTAAGAATTATTAATCATTGCTCTTTTGAACAAAGCAAACGTATTTATTTTTGTTATAAATTGTGTTTTAACGAATATTTTGAGCCAACGCCATTCGTCAGAACAGAATTTTAAAAAATTCCTATGACTAACAATAGTATTGTTAGCAATTATCATAACTTTTGTACTTTAAAAATATATTCAGCTATTTCCATAACCACACAAACGAAACTAAAACGCCGATAATTCAATTTAAAATTTGTAACAGTCATTTGGATTCTAAAACCTTTTTGCCTTTATTCAAGTTTATAATACGATGTTAGTTATTAGGAGTAAAAGTATAATAACGATAGTTATTTATTATACAAGACGATAAAATTGAATTTAGCAATTTAGCAATTTAGAGTCGATAATGAAAATTTAATCGTCGTGTATTTTTTATCATCTAGGCTATAAAATTACATTTTAACATGAAGAAGAGAGTAGATAAAATTCAATTTTAACATAGAGGATTGAATAAATATAAATTAATCAATAATCAAACTGAAGCACAACTAAATGCAGGTTTTTTTTCCTTATGCTTTATGTATTTCATTTGACGTTTCTCGTTTGATAGTCAAAAAAAGTGTACACTACAAGAACATCACACAATCATTTATCATTTATTATTTTGGCAATTGATCATAAAATATGTCATTGTCAATTTGGTAACAACAAAATATTAATTCATGGTAGAATTGTATTATTGTTCAAGGGAATTAAATTAATTACGACTTGACAGTTTTCAGTTAAATAGTCTTGAAAATAGTCTTGTATATCGGGTGTCCCAGGTAGGCTTGGATATAGGAAATTAACATGGGAAATTAATTTATATTTTTTTACAGCTGCAGGAGTAACAGAAATCAAAGTTTTATTAATGGAGCTTGTAGTGCTCGAAAAGAGCTATCTTATTGACATTGTTGTCTTTTCTCCAATTAACTCCATTTGAGAGAAAACGGCTTTCGAAAAATCGAAATTTGAAATTGCTGGGTTAGCCTTATTAAGAAACAAACTATCAAGTCATAGCAAGGGCTTTTAGTTGACAAATTTTCTTTTGGCAACAATAACTTGATAGTTCGTTTCTTAGTAACTCTAACTCGGCAAATTCAAATTTCTATTTTTCGAGGGCCGGAAAAAAATAATATCTAATTTCCTATGTTAATTTCCTATATCCAAGCCTGCTTGGGACACCTGTTATAATTTATTAGCATTCTTATAAAAATGCTGTCAAATTAAAACATTGTATAAAATTGCAGAGCTTTAGTAGCGCCGTAAAACTGTAGTTATTTTTAATACACACATAAAACTCAAATTAAAACAAAATAATATAAATTCTATTTAATTTTACGTCAAATTGTACATTTTAAATTACGTTTGTCGTGTTTAAAGTGCAACAAAATATTACGAGATTAAAACTTGTTATTGGATTTTACAGATATCAGGGTTTATTATCCCATAAATAATTTTCAGCAAATTCGAATGTGCTGTATTTTCATTAAATCATCAAAAATTTGTCACCTGACACAAAGTTTTAAAAAATATGGGCGGAGAGGTCGTATTTACTTATTTAGATTTTAAACAATAGTAAAATAACGGGTGTTTTTTAAATTTGGCGTCAAAGCTATCCATGAAAGTTTGATTGTGAACGAACCATCGTATTGAAGTTATTAATATGACATTTGACAGCTCTCCGGGCATATTAAAAATTGTGGTCCGTTCACAACACACTCATATCACCGCCAACTATGACGCCAATGTATGTATAATGTAACAAATTTAAAAATACATCTAATAAAATGTAATAATAAAGAATAGCATATTTTTTCATACGGGCTAGATTATAAAAAAACGCCTCAAGTAATAACTCCATTATTTTTAAAGTTATGACAATTTTTCTTGGAACAAAGTTGCACAGTTTATTGTTATCTGTTGTTCAATTTCAGTTTCTTAAATGGAATATACCCTGTTAATTTTACCACTTTTGGATTCTTCGTTTAATTGTCTTTTAACAAGTTTTAGTACCATATGTTTAAAACCAATCGTTAGTGAGATATTCGTCAATTAATCTATTTATTAAAGTAGGCAGTGGAAAACAATAATGTCAAACAATTTGAGAAATGTCGTTAGCTTGTATTTTTTATTAGTGTTTTTAAGTTTCAAGTAGGTATATTTTGAATACTTACAATAAAAATTGTGGAAAAGCACTACCCTTATACAATGAGAGGTTTCCAATTTTCAATAATAAAAATTATTAATTTCTCTGTCAGCATAGAAGTCTTAGTTCAAAAATCTCTCCTTTCATCTAAAGCTGTGTCCTGAACTTTTGCCATTGTTGTGTTTGTGATGAAGTTGAAATGTACATATTTCCTTGTTGTTTTCAGTAGATAAAAGAGCAATTTTAATGCAATGAATCATCCGCGAACGCTCATTAACTCAATCTCATTTTTCACATATATCAGAATAAATCCGGAATTGTTGAGAGTTTTTCATTTCACGTCCTTTTCTGCTCGGACAGAAAGCTTTATTTCGTCAGATGAAAGTGAACTTTTATTCTGAAATACGAGACGACGCATTATCCTTTCAAGTCGAGTGGCAGTTATAGCACATCGTCTCAACGAGACCCTTAAATAGGCAAACATCTTTATATTATTAAAAAAGTACGATGAAAGAAAGACCAACTTTAGGAGCACTATAAATTATAAAATAATTGCGCAGTCTTTAACTTTCTATAGGTTATGTGATATGTGGTAATTTTTGTGGAGAGGTAATAAGTATTGTTTCCAATGCATATTCAAGTTTGAATCGCTATAACAGAACGTTTTTTTGTACTTTAAATAGAGCTAAACACGTGTGAAGACCTAAAATGCTTGACCCAAGAAAGGAACTTTATGTAGGATAAATGCGTCCTATAAAATTGATAAAGGTTAAACCAAGAATCAGAAAAATGTTCTTTAATTCAGCACGGACAGAATAATAGGTATCGACTTGAAGTTCCACAGTTCCGGCTCACGCTAAATTCCATTAACAAAATGGACTTTTAAAACAGAAAGAAACTGCTAGGTCAGAACATGAGGGAGAGAAACCTCAAGATAACCCCGGCCCTAAGACAATCCGATAGCCTTTGCGCGTCTTGTTTACCTTCACAACACCAATGGAAAATCAACTCATTACAGCCCTTCCAATTAAGCCAAATAAATAAAACAGATGACCTACTCATTTTCTTTCCAGTATATCCCTTTGAAAAATCACCAAGAAATAATAGATCACTTTCTGATCCCTCCTTTTACACGTTTTCGAGAATGAATGTAAATTTCGCATTTTTTAGTGACAGTTAAAACACGGCTTTCTCTTTCGCTTGAAAATGAGTGAATGTTGCAGACAACACCTATTTCAAAGGATTAACAGGATTGCATCCTCGACATGGGTCACTTTCTGGGGCTATTTTCTAGACGTTTAAATCCTTTTAGGACTCCGGTTTTGTGGTTGCCGTACTCGCTTGATGTGGCCTTAGTGACTGACGTGATTTTAAGTGAATTTGACAAAAATGATGCACATCCACGCCCAAATGAAAGTGGTCACAAAAATACTTTTATTCAAGCCGATAATGTGAATGTTTACTTATTAGCAAGTAAATAAT